AATTTTGTGGACCACAAATATCAGTTTCTAGGACTCTTCAGAGCAGAAACACTGCAAATAGAAGCCAGCTATCACTACTAACTAACTGCTCTGAAAGAGATCACAGTAGAAGATCCTGGATAGAGTGAGAGAAAAACAGGGAACAAACCTCAAAATCCTAAAAACAACTAGGCTTACTAGACAAACAGAACCTGGTGGGACCCCCAAACGATAGCCCTTCACCACCCTTAGGTCTGGAAATACACTCATGCCCATGGCTCAATTTTCAGACACACAATACACAGGTCCATAAGAGGAGCAGCAACACTACAGGGGTACTCCCAGCTCAGAGGGATCAACCACATGAGGTAAAGGGCAGCGCTGACCCACGGGCCGCAAACTTTGGAAGGGGTAGAAGAGTAAGGGCAACGGAAGAGGAAACACCGGGAAGAAGGGAGATATATCATGCAGTATATGACATAAGACAAATGTGTATGACTTATTGAACAGGAAACTAGTCTTCTCTCTGAACTGCCACCCCAATCACAGTAAAAAGGTTTTTAGATTTTCTTTAAGTTCATGAAAAAAAATGTATTATCTTTTCATTTCATTTATCCATCAACTTTTGAAGTCCCCTCAGACTACTGCGTCACCAGGTGGCTGTCTATCAGGTATTTGGAAATGCAGAATTTATTAAAGAGTGGCAATAGGACCTTGTGAACAAGTAAAAATTGATCACTGAAGTGGAGGTTTGGAAGAAGATTGGGAAAAAAAGAAAAAAAGGAGAACTGTGGAGAAGGTTAGCACTTAGTAAAACAGAAGTAATATGAGCAAGTGAATGATAGAGAAAATGTTCGACCAAAAATGTTGAATATGACCTAGAGGGAATCAAGATCTGAGAGGCCAGAAGACAATGTTGTAGAGCGTGTTCTAAAGTGAGGTTAAAGAACCTAAGGGCTGAGAGATGCCCAAGGGTCTATCTTTTTATTGCTGTGTCTACTAGAACTTACAGTTGGTAGCACATAAGTTTTCTCTTTATCACGATGAGCAGTATGTTATGATTTGACTACATAATGTGTCCAGGTGAGAATTTAATATTATCCTGATTCAGGCACCAACTGTTCTTGAAATCTCAAAATATATCTTCCTTTAATTCGGGGAAATTCTAAGTAACAATGTCTTCAAAAATGACTTCTCTGTTATTTCTTCCAAATTGTTCTTACTGGGCCACCCCAACCCCCATTAAACTCATACCAAAAGCCTCTGTAAATTGGTAGGCCAGACTGAGTCCAGAGGCTACCAGTTTCCAACCTCTGTAGCAAGGATTGAGGGGTGCAGCACTGCACACCATGGTCTACTTAAGTGGCTTCCAGAGAGAACCTTAGAGGGAACATAGAATCTAATATATGTTATGATACACAGCAATCACTGTGTGGAGGAAGTGGATTCAAGAGACACGGATTGACCTTTCAAGGAACACCGTGGTGAAGATAAGGTGACGGCTTAAAGAGGTAGCCGGGTCAAAACTCAACTGCCATTGAGTCAATACCAACTCATAGTGACCCCATAGGACAGGATCGAAACCCCCATGTGAGAATCTAAGACTGTAACTCTTTACAGGCGTCGAATGCCTCATCTTCTGCCTGCAGAGAGGCCAGTGGTTTTGAACAGCCCACTTTCCAGTTAGCAGCCCAAGGGAAAGTCAAGGAGGTACTGACCACATTTTCTAAAAGCACAACTGGAAGGATAAGTCGCAGTGCAGAGGAGGAGCATTTCCAGTGAAAGAAGAAAAGTAAAGTTGCCAAAGCCAAAGGCGGGAACAGAGCTTACAGGGTGAGGTTCTGGCTTGCAGAAGGCTGTGGATGAGAGTGGAAGCCCAAGATACATTTGTGAGATCTACACAGGGAATACGCCTCTGGTGATTCCCTCTAGCCATAACGGAGGGAGGGAATAAGTAAACGGATTACCCAACCGAGGGTACTGGAGAGATGAATATAAGAGATCAATCGATAAACCTGGCTTGAACAGTTAAAACCCTGGCGCTTGATCCTTCCTCTGATAGTTACACTTTGGGCTTGATCTGGTTTTCAATACTTTGTGTTAATATTTTTTTAATTTCATACTGGGGTTTATCTCTGATGTGTTTTGTCACTGTGGGTAGCCCTCTTGCATTGCCGTTACATGTTTTTCTGTTTTGCAGTATGGGAAGCCCAGGATTGATGAAGCTATAGAGACAACAAGTAGAATAAGGGTTCCTGGGGCGTAAGGTGGGGGAGGTGAGTAAAGGAGAACTGATATCAAGGAATTCGAGAAGGAAGAAAATGTTTTGAAACCAATTGCAGTAGAAATTGTACAATTCTATTATTAAAAAAGAAAACCAACCTCACTGCCACTGAGTCATGGCGACCCCAGAGGACAGGGAGCACTGTCCCTGCGAGTGTCTGAGAATGGGACTCTTTATGGGAGCAGAAGCCTCCTCTTTCTCCCGAGGAGTGGCTGGGGTTTCAAAGGCCAGCTTAGAAAACATCGTGAGGAAGGATTGACTCTTCTCAAGGGCCAACAAACCAAGAAAACTCAGACCAGAGCAGGCTCTGGAGATAAACGGTAGTAATATATATGTTTTTTATTTATATATTACATATATTTTTATTTTTATATACTACTTATGTATTTATATATACAGTGAACCCTCGCCACTTCGCGCTTCGACTTCCGCGGCTTCACTCTATCGCGGTTTTTGCATAACAGCGCATGCTCTGTCATTA